AAATGAATCAGGCTCATAAAATAAGGTCTCTTGTCTTAAACCCAGGGTAGCGTGTATAAACAGGGTCAGACTTTGGAGGCCTCGGCATCAAACCTCTACCCAATCTTCCTTTGAGTGCCCTCCAGGTGTACTAGACAGTCCTGAATGTTTAAACTCAAATAGGAAAATTGGCTTCACAGTAATACAGCAAAACGTCTTCTTTAGGACCCCTCTAAAGCGAGGATACCCCCATTTAAGGGACACAAACTCCCCTCACCTTTCCGAAAAAAAGGACGAAAAGTTAGTATAATCGTTGTATACGTTGCCTCTCAATTGAAGAGATGCCCCTCAGTCCTATATCAGTTATCTACAAACAATACGAACGACAACAAATGGACTGTGTACAACTCAGTGTTAAATGCTAGCTTAAGATATGGAAGAGAGTGGTCATCCCTTGCCGTGGCTATAAGCCGCTTGCCATAGATAATCACTATTACCTAAATACTGATTGCAGCCTCAGTTGGTCATTGCAAAAGTATGTGTATATAAAGGCTAATTAGATTTAACAACTCTGATGAGGGAAGGGGATACTCCCTACAATAGCCCACACAGGGAGGCTCCACCCAAAACGGGGTACCTTTTTCAGGCTTCACTGAGGTATTTCAAAGGGTAGGGAATTCAAGAGTACAAGTATATGAAAGGGTTGAAAAATCTGTCAAGTATTCAAAGGCTATAAATCAAGTTGTTTCCAAAAGACCAGCCTAATGATTATATCATTTAAATTTATTAAACGTCACACGAAAATGAAAAGCAAATTTTCTGTTTTAGCGACGTCTTGTTCTTGGTATACCTTTTGTCAAAAATGGTATACAAAAGGGTAAAGGGTTGGACCCGGGGGAGGAGCTTTCCCGTAAAAAAACTTTGTTGAGTAGCCCCCTGCGATTGATGATCGGTTCGCTGATTAATTGATGTATCAAAACATAGGATTCAGCGGTTAGGTATGACACTCTTAAGTTTTCATTTCAAAGAAAACAGCTAGATTTTCCGAGAATCTAATTCATCCTGTTTAAATTCGACCTAACTGAAGATATAGTCAACCTACAGGGTGTCCCAAAAGTTCGTTCCTCTACTTTAAAAGGCTGTAACGCAGTACGATTGGACTTGATCAGCACATTATTTAAACCAAAGTTGTGACTTTCAATCTAATTTAATATTTCATACTTTTTGCGCCATCTTTTGACTCGAAATTCGATTTGTGTAATTTCGCGCCAAAGGTGCGCTGCCCTAGTAAATTTTCCCGCCATATATTTTTTGCATTTTGTAGCCCGAAATGCTCGAACTCCTAACTAAACTTGTTTTGTGTGAATATCCTGAAAGGTTGAACCCTCTCAACGAAAAAACACTCAGCTACGTGCAAGCAGAAGCATGTATTTCTATCTACTGGCTTATCAGTTAAACAAATTCCTAAAAAAATGGAAAATCCGAATGTTGGGTGGTAAGATGGTCATAGAGAAATGAAGGTTTTTCAGACAAGAATCGAGGGGTAAGACCGAAAGTCCTGAATAAAACCGCTAAAATAGTTTTAAAGAAGGCCATGTACAAAACAGGAAACCCAACGAGGTAGCTCTTACAACAGTTAGCAAGTTAAGTCTGGAGCAGGTTCATGAAGGGCAAAGTTCGGAGACCCTGAGATGGCAAAAACACTTTACTCCCGGCCAGGGCCGTCCGCCAAGCTGACTATTATGCTAAACAATCTGGGTCCTGACCACACTGACGTTGCAACTTCTTACTCTGAATTGGGTTATATACACCTGCAATTAGGTGACCTTCAGCGTGCAATGGAGTATCAGTATCGTGCCCTCACCATTAGGCTAAAGAAGCTGGGTCCTGACCACACTGACGTTGCAACTTCTTACTCTCACATGGGTCTTATACACCTGCAATTAGGTGACCTTGAGCGTGCAAAGGAGTATCAGGAACGTGCCCTCGCCATTAAGCTAGAGAAGCTGGGTCCTGACCACACTGACATTGTAACTGATTGCTCTAACTTGGGTTTCATACACCTACAATTAGGTGACCTTGAGCGCGCAAAGGAGTATCAGGATCGTGTCCTTGCCATTAGACTAAAGAAGCTAGGTCCTGACGACACTGACGTTGCAACTTCTTACTCTCACTTAGGTCTTATATACCTGCGATTTGGTGACCTTGAGCGTGCAAAAAAGTACGCGTATCTTGCCTTTGCCATTAGACTAAAGAAGCTGGGTCCTGACCACAGTGACGTTGCAAGTGATTGCTCTAACTTAAGTGTTATACACCAGCAATTAGGTGACCTTGAGCGTGCAAAGGAATATCATGATCGTGCCCTCGTCATTATGGTAAGGAACTGGGTCCTGATCATACTGACAGGGTCATTTGTAGCCTGCGAAAACAACCGTTTCTCCTCGCTCTGGGGACGTTTCACGCAGAGGAACGTCTGCGACTCAGCGATAGAAATTGCATACTGATGACGTAAAATCTGCCCGGAATCCGGTCAGAAGCGCTGATTGGTCAACGGAGTAGTTACATTGTTTTAGCTATTGTTTACGAATGACAGACAAACGACAAAAGGCCACAAAGGTCAAATGTGAGGGCGAAGAATCTTAAACAAAATAGCCAATATTTGTGGAATATAGTCTTCTCTTGAAGAAGCATTTGAGTTTTGCTGGAACTCGTTGGCAGATGAACCCAGCACTTTACCAAAATCGACCAGAAAACACGTAAAATTGCACAAATTTATATTTAGAACCCCATGACTACCGGATTTATTATGTAAACATTTATTTGCGTCATCAGTATGGAATTTCTGTTGCTGAGTCGCAGACGTTCCTCTGCGCGAAACGTTCCCAGCGGCGAAGAGCGAGGAGAAACGGATGTTTTCGCAGGCTAGGTCATTTGTACACTTACTTGGTGTTAACTTTTCGTTATCTCGTACCCAGATCTCTTTTCGACTAAGCCGAAGGCGAGATACGGTCAAGTACGAAAATTCAATTTCTTTGATTGGCTACTCGAAGTGCCTAGATTGTGAAGGAGTGACGTCAATCTGGTCCTGCATCTGCGCGCGCAATTGCGTGTGCAATTCACACTTTGCGAAGTTATATCAGGTGATCACGTTCACAAATCGGATTTGACCAGATCTCGCCTTTGGCTTCGTCGACAAAAGATCTGGGTACGAGATCAAACTTTTCTCTGACGTCGCCATCGTGGTTACGTATACTCCCTATTTACTCGACTTAAGCATGGACGTGAGGTTGTGTGTGAAATGAATGCTATGTGATGTGAGCTTTCTCGAAGTACCTTATTCTGTTATGTCTGTTATTCTTTATTTCAGAATCGGAAAAAGTTATTGGGAAGAAAGTACCTATTAGTTCCAGTGATGACTTGTCAAATTACTCATTGATAATAGCCTGTATACAGACGCCCCCCTCCCCAATTTTTTCTGAGGGGAGGGGGTGGGGGGGGGCGTCTGTAAAAAGGCTAATTAAGAACAGTAAAGTTGTAATTAAGCATCTTTCTTAAGATGCTTAACTTAACTTATTATTCATTCAAAACATTTCTCCGATTCTGATTGGCTAAAAGCACGCGCATAATTCACCATAACCAGCTACTGATGACCAAATTTGGAAGAATTTTGCGTTTAATGAACCGATGACGTCAAAAGTGCAGCGTTCTTACAGGTTAATGCACCGTTAACCGAGAAGACCCGGGGACGTGGTTGAGTTGTTTTGGTTGTGAAAACAGAAATGGCGGACCTTTCACTCGTTTCAAGAGTAAAAACTAGGCGAAATAATAGCTAAAAACATGGCAAGAACAGCAAGAAGACAACTCGAAGGGCGACTTCTGCTATTTAGAGAATATTTGCGGAGCTGAACAACCCTAAACGTGTACTATCGAAGATGAACTTAACAACGACTGCATCGATGGAGGTAAGCATGTTTTAGCTATGTTTTTAAACTTGGAATTATTTTGAATGAATAATAAAACAATTATTGAATTCGGCTTTCGTATCATATGAAGAAATATGGAGATCTCGGAGGGTGTTATCTGCCTCGGCCCACGGCCTCAACGGATAACACCCTCCTCGATCTCCATAGTTCCTCATAAGATACTCAGCCTCATTCATTAATTGTTAATTAACTATATCAAACTGCATTTATGTAAATGATTAATCGATATGAATTACAAATAGTTCACCCGCTTCACTTAAACTTAGACTCAGTGGCTGTCTGCTCATCCGCCTGAGCTCTGCAACTATCATGATAGTTGTCAGCAGAGGTCTGATTGAGCTGGGTGGGGCAAAGGGAAACAAATTATTTTCCAGTCAAAGCCTCAAGTGGACAATGCTTAAGCCCGCCATTGAAGTAGTGGTTTCAAAAGACCCTCTCCCTACCCCACTGCTTTTGCCCACAGCCAAAGGCTACCCACCCGCTATTATAGGCTGTTCCTGGGCTGTCTGCCTGTGGTGGCCTTGACCCCCTCAAATTTTTGACACCGGAGTGGCCTGCAGCCCGACCCCAGGTGAAGACCCAGTGGCTAAGTGTTAACAAATTCGAACCGATAAATTAGTTTAGAAACAAAGAAAGATAGCCAGAAATACGGTGATTGCCGTGTGGAAGTCAACAGGTTAAGTATAGATGTTTCTTCTGCAACACCTTAAACAACATAACCTGCGGACACAGACGTATTTCCGGTCGTCGCTTTCTCCACTCGATTGGAGAGAAGCGACGACCGGAAATACGTCTGTGTCCGCAGGCTATAAACAACATAGAACATGTAACAATTTTTTTTTTTGTATCTACTCCGGGCACTAAAATAGAATCACGAGGAGTGCTAACACAAGAGTCAGAAGAAGCTGCTAAAGTAAATGAGAAGGTGGCTGAGTTGGCAAGTGAGGAGGGCATGGGTGCAAGATACCATGGAGGATCGAAAAAAGATGCGGATGAGAAGTCTGATGAAGAAACTGGAGCTGCAGATGATGTAGAAGGGGAAATATTTTTTGAAGTAGAATCTGGAGCAATGGTAACAAGTGAAGGTACCAGCTGGGCCTTCAAACAGTGGGGTATTCACCTGATGCTCCCTCCTGATGCTGTATCTGAGCGCACGTCAATAGTGGTCCGCAGATGCAAATATAGTGTCTGTTCACCCACGCTGCAGGAGTATGAGGTCATTACTAGCAATGTTATTGAACTATCCTTTATGAATGGCCCATATCTAAAATTTAACACCAAAGTGAAGCTGTCGCTATCCCACAGCGCAACAGACCTACAGGGCTACGAACTAGTGATAAAAAAGCTGATTGACAAGGAGACGAATAATTGTCAAGACCTGGATGGAACAAGGAGCATACGTTGTGGTCAAGACTTCGAAGACAATCACCCTTCCCACATGAAAATTCCGGACTTTCTCTTTCCCGTTGCTCAAGCTGATATATCTGAGTGCTCAACATACGCAGTAGTTAGTCGTCTAAAGGCTTCCCCAACTTACACCATCACATCTTGTGGCGGCTCTTTAAGCCATCCTGACTTCCCGGGCGTGATGATTGCTATCCCTGAAAATGCTGTTGCACCTAACTCAAAGCTTTCGGTGGAGTTAAAGGTGCAAGAAGTTCTAAATGAAGATTTTGAAGGGGATGGTAAATTTCTTGGACCTGTATTGCGAATTAAATGCGTCGAAGCTGTTCAGTTCTTGAAACCTGTCACTATTCAGCTGCCAATTTCTCTTCGAGAGCAGGAAGACATGAATCTGAGTCCCACAACATGTCACGTCAGCGTGCTGTTCCTCAAGTCCGATAATGGTAAAAAAGAATGGATCGATATCACTGATAATCTTGTGAACCCACCAAGTCTGGATCGAAGGTTCGTAAGGTTCCATGTGAAACGGTTCTCTGGATATTCAACATATGTTGAGAGGAGAGACGAATACTCCAGGTTTTATGTAAAAAGAATTATAAATTTCCTTAAAAGCCGCATTTTTGTTCAGCCCAGACTAACAGTCTTCTTTGCTTACTTTCGTCCGGATCTTATAAATATTTTGCGTCTGATTTGTTGCCCTGCTCAAATTAAAGGGGAGGTGGAAATGAAACTCGAAAAACAAGGCATAATGCCTATTTGCAACAACTCAAAGAAAGATATGACACCTGGGTACGACGAGGCATCCGTGTCTGTATCAGGAGGAATATACCCTTATATAAAGAGTGACATGGAGGAAATGTACCTTAGGGTTTTAGAGAACGATCCAGACGATGCTGAGTTGGAGGTTTGTTTTCGTGATGGCGAAAACATAGCACGAGTGGAGTTTTTTAGAAAACCCCAAGAGCCATTGTGTAAATTGCACTTAAGAACACCCTGCACTAAGGGTACGGATCGGTCAGACTCGTCGGAACTTACTCGTCAGTCTAGTGCAGTGATGGAAGGCAGTCCAACGGAAAGTGTGCTAGAGCGTCTATCAAACAAAATCCGCCGTAGAGATTGGAGAAAGCTTGGGCGGCGGTTAAACTTCCATGAAGCACAGTTGGATGAATTTGATAACGACAATGAACAAATATCCGAAAAAGCATAAGCTATGTTGTTAGCTTGGAAACAAAATTTCGGCAAAGATGCCACCTACAATGATCTGAAAAAAGCCCTGTGTGACAGGACCGTGGGGCTTAGAGATTTGGCACGAGAATTTTGTTGTTACTGAATTTGGTTTTTACGTTTTTCTTTTGACTGAATCGACAGTAGTCTACTTCCTACTTCTTACCGCCTATTTTTTTTTTTGGCTTCTTTGTTCGTGTACAACCAAATGAAAAGACTGGGATAAATACGTGCGTTACATTCTTGTACAGTAGAACTTCGATGTAACGAGCCTCTATACAACGAAGTCCTAGATGTAACGAACAATCTTCTTTGCCCCAGTAATAGTAAAATATATGAAAAAGAACCAAGATATAACAAAGCCTCGTTATAGCGAACAAATTTTGCCAGTCCTTTGGGCCTTAGTTATATCGAGGTTCCACTGTATAATGTATATAGAAAGAGCTTGGCCTCGACGTCTTAGAAAACCCTTACATACTCCCCACCCTCTCTCTGGCATGAGGTCTGGGAGTACTACACGTAGTAAAACGCGCTCATCCAATTACTTAAATAATCATTGTAAATACAAGGATCAGGTAGGTAGGTCACGTTTGCATGTATGCGACTGAGCCGAGTGGCCCATTATGTGTGAGCTCGTTTTCTTTTGCTGTAGCATGATTCCTTTTCACAAAATGCATGCCCGAAGTACTGTGAAGTTATGGACACTTGATGCCAAAGAATAACATTTTTATGGAGAGTATTTATACATTCATGGTATTTTGACTACGAAGAAGGTTTATTAACAATTGACATTTTCCTTGAAATGTACAGAAATCAATGAAATATACTTCCAAGTTGTAATGCTATTGGGAATGGTAGATAAAAAACTTATATAAAATACATTGGAACAGAAGTGCTATCGCTGAATCTTAATTCAATAATTAATTTACTTATTAATGTAATAAATGGTAGATACTTACTCAGTTACTCACTTACGGAATTCGTCATTCCTGAATTTAATTTCTCTTCCTTTACTTTAAAGAGTCCTTTTTGGCCCCATTTATATGGAGAAACCTGGTCCCAGGTAGAAAGGTCACCTGTTCACCTCAGCTACTCTAGGCGAGAGCCAACTTTTCCTACATTTCCCCCTTACAAGACCAAACTTGGCGAACCGTTTACATAAGAAACAGTACTAAGTTTGCTCTGGCGGCTAGTATAATATTCATCCCTGGGTATTGTTATTAATGACTTTCTAATAAGGTATGGGGAATCAATCTGACCGGGAACAAGCCCAAGACAGACTGAATTGAATATACTAGGTAATCTGGAACCCGACTTACTCGCTGGGGAGGGCGGGTGGGTCGCCAATCACCTTCGTGACGGACAACGTGCGCGCCAGTGTTTCCTATTATACATACCCATTTGCATATCATTAATTAATCCCCTGGGATGATATTTACAATTCAGATGGAACGTGAATAGAAGGGTGACTCACCTAGCCAAGCAAACTTTTCTACATGCAAACACTTTGGCTCGCCTAGCCGGGCCAACTCGGTCAAGGCTAGACAACCATAGCAAAAAATAATGTATATTCTCGAAATTAACCTTTCTTTTATGACCTTTGAGTTTCAAGATCACTGGAAACTTAATAACCTTAAAATTTGATAAGCCGCTGGAGATAACAGTCTGGATAATAAGAGATCAGATGAGGCTCTTACTTAAAAACACGAAATTTCCGCCAAAAAGACCCATTCGAAACCAATCACAAATTGTTTAAAAAAAATATTTCCAGCAGTTTCCAAATTATACGCTCATTTGTTTAAGAGTAGAAACAATGAGCAAAAAACAGCAGCAAAAAGCCAAAGGAGTGAAACTTGTGTACTAGGAGGCAGTCAACTTTCAAAACTTTACTGCCGGAGGGGTAACCGGTACAAGGGCCGAACACGGGAAGAAAGACGGATTTTTTAAAATCAAACGCTTTTTTTAAGGTGGCTCGACTGGATTTTTTGGGGTTGATACCTCCCAGTTTGAGCATTAACTACGTCGGCATGAGTAAAGATATGGAAAAAAGGTTACCCCAACTGTATTATATAAAGATGAAAATTTCTTATGATTTGGGTTTTATTGCAATCGAAGTCGCCATGGCAACGTAATGACGCCATTACGTTTTTCATTTATCTTTGTGTTTCTCTGTACCAGGAGTTTTTTGAAGAAATCGCTTAAGGGAGTATGCACCTCCCATAATTGCCTCCATTATGGCAGAGTTTGAACAATTCCTATGGGAGCGTTTTCGAAATATTTTGAAATGCAGTTTTAAGAATCATAAAAACAGTGAAATAGCATGCTAGCCACACAATTCGCTGATATTTTAAGAAAATGATAAGCTTTGGGAACGCGGCTTCATCTCATAGTGGTTTGATTCCATTGAAAACTACATACAAGAAAAGAGGGGAATTGCTCTGGACGATCGCGAGCAAGAAGAATTTTATTAACTTGCATTCGGCTGCTTTTGATACAGTTTTTGGACGTGATTTGGTCCATACCTAAACATTTCACATTTTTCCAAAAACCGCTCGATAATTTTTTTTATAAATTTGACAATCCCGAGATCAATTGTCAAGAAATATTCCCTGCAAGTTTCCAGAACGTTGAAAACAGGGAAGGCTTTTAAATAGGGCCTCAAATATAGCCAATTTCCCCCCAAGAATTTGTGTTTACAAGTGAGCGTCCTCATTATTCAGTGGCATTGTTTTCAAGTTTCATATGCACGTGCACAACTAGCAAAAGATATAAATTTACATCAAAAAGAACTCTCGATTACTTTCCGAAGAAATATCCGGAATATGCTAATAATTGGCTTCTCGTCACAGATAGCAGTGGGAGCCGAAACGGTGAACGTCACGGCTCATCGTGTAGGATGCAGTACTTAATCATCTTACTCGGGTTATAACATCACAAAAACTCTCACAAAGAGTTTTTCTGATGTTATAAGATTATAATGTATCACTAATCTCTTTACCCGATAATTAGCATATCCCGGAGATTTAAATAAATAAATAAAATAAATAAATTGGTTTATTGCTACCTTTTGCAGTGAGAACTGAATTACAGGTAGGGTCAGAAATAACGGGAATCTAAGGTAATAAATAATACAAAATAAGTATGTAAAACGCTTAGGAATCTAAATAGGCGGCATATTTGCACGTTACAAACTGTGCAAAACGGTCGGTGTTGGTTTGTTTGGATACAATGTTGGTATTCCTTCTAAGATTGTATGGGGATTCCCTAGGCTGGGAGCTACTTAAAATAAGCGCATACAAAGGGTTGGGGTTGGGTGGGGGTTGGGTTGGGTTGCCAGGAGAAATTTAACCGAGGGTCCTTTTTGACGCAAATTCTATCTTTTTGCTAAATGTGTACGTGTATATGAAACTTGAAAACAAAGCCAGTGAATAATAAGGACGCTCACTTGTAAACACAAAATCTGGGGGGGGAAATTGGCTATATTTGAGGCCCTATTAAAAAGCCTTCCCTGTTTTCAATGTTCTTGAAACTTGCAGGGACTATTTCTTGACGATTGATCTTTCTGTAGCCTGCATGGCAAAGAGTAGTGGGGTGGCGGAGAGAAAGAGGGGGAGGGGCTGGGGAGAGAGGAGGAGGGGCGTACCCTTTCGCTTTCGCTTTAGTTTTTCTCCCACCGCTCCCTCCACCTTTTGCACTTGTCAAGCAGGCTAAATTACGGAATCGAAAATATTCCTACATAATAAGTATAGGATTTCATTTCAAGTTTTGAATATTTTCAGTTTAATAATTCTACATACAAGGTAATAAAACTTGCTGTCTGAACACGCTCAGAGAAATTAATCCCCTAATGGATTTCAATTGCAATTATAACTTAGTCTCGGTCCATTTTGCTCGTTTCTTAATGGTCACACCAGTGTACCGGCTTCCACAAATTTAATATCCTGGCTACTGTACTCACCTATGTAACCTCCGTTAAGTTAGACGATTTTAGACATTTTATGAGGTCTTCCCCCGACTGTTCGAACATCGACAGTAATTGTGACTTTATTTATTTTTCATAGTTATCTTTTGCTCCTGAGATTGGTTTTTCAAAATTGTCTTTTTTCAAGCCAACTTCCGGCTTCCGCTCATCATCTCCAATTCCTGATTTTCTTTCCCCTCTCTTTTTTCAGGGGTTCTTTTTACTATCCACAGTTATATTAGACATATTAAACCGGGTCAGTGAGTATTTGATTTCGGCTTGGTTACAAAATAAACATCGAGGTCACGTCAAAAATATCCTGCGTGTGCTTCACAAAACCAAGTACTTTCACTTTCGACAAAGCCTGTAGCGCCTCGGCTGTCTGTTTGTTGCCCCATACTAACTTGTGCCGTTTAACCGATTTTTCACTTTTCACAAAAGGTAAGTATGCACCTTTTCGAACCTTTAATTCATTTAAACAGTTTAACAGAGTAACGTGTTATTTGGTCGTGCTTTTTTAAACAGTACAATGTCTAAAGATGAGGTACACGGCTGACTTACTACCCTGCGAGCAGAGGCCCTTCGATACTGACTTACCCAATCGCCATATGAAATTAGCGTGATCTGACCTCCTGTCTTTACCCATTTTCAAGAAAAAGAAATCTCAATGTTGGCAGTGACGAAACTGCTTTTTAGGTAGAAGATATTATGAACTTTTCCTTGTTGACTCTGATCTCTTCTTGATACTTGTAAATAAAGAAATAACGGCAATGATTTTACGCCAAAAATTTGTCTTCGCTTTCGCTTAATGGTTGATGGTTAAGATAAGGGTGATCAATAGCCGCAGATTAAGAATGAAAGGATGTTGACTGAGGCTAAATTGTCCTTAGGCACGATTTCCAAAGCGAAAGAGAGACGTCTTCTCGCAAGACGTGATCTTCACGCACGCCCGCGTGTTTCACCCGCATTCAGTTTCAATTTACTTATTTTCCAGAAAAAAAAATTCAGTCATTCAATACGTT